CCCCTGGGACTTGGAGCCAGATGCGGCCCTGGGACGTGGAGCAGAGATGGCCCTGGAGCATAGAGCTGTTGTAGATCTAGGTAAGTAGGCACTGATAGGTGGAGCAAAGGCAACCCTTGGTATGTGGAGAAAGTGGTGGCCTTTGAGATGTGAATCCAGTGAGGGCCTTGGAGACGTGGAGCTAGAGCAAGCCCTTGACACATGAAGCCAGAGGTGGTCCTTGGGACGTGGAGCAGAGGCGACCCTTGAGACGTGGAGCCAGTGGTGACCCTTGGGACATGGAGCCAGAGGTGGCCGTGAGACGTGGAGCAGAGGTAACCCTGGAGCGTAGAGCTGTGGTAGATTTAGGTGAGCAGGCACTGATAGGTGGAACAGAGTCAGCACTTGAGACGTGGCGCAAGAGGTGGCCCTTGGGACATTGAGCCAGAGGCGACCCTGGAGTGTGGAGCAGTGGTAGATCTAGGTAAGTAGGCACTGATCGGTGGAGCAGAGGCAACCCTGGAGATGTGGAGCCAGTGGTGGCCTTTGAGACGTGAATCCAGTGACAGCCTTTGAGACGTGGAGCTAGAGCAAGCCCTTGACACGTGAAGCCAGAGGTGGTCCTTGAGACGTGGAGCCAGAGGCAACCCTTGAGTGTGGAGCAGTGGTAGATCTAGGTAAGTAGGCACTGATAGGTGGAGCAGAGACAACCCTTGGGATGTGGAGCCAGTGGTAGCCTTTGAGACGTGAATCCAGTGACGGCCTTTGAGATCTAGGTAAGCAGGTACTGGTATTGGGAGCAGAAGCGACCCTTGGGATGTGGAGCCAGAGGCCGCACTGGGACGTGGAGCAGTGAAGCCAGAGGTGGTCCTTGGGACGTGGAGCCTGAGGTGACTATTGGGACGTGTATTAGAGGTGGCCCTGGAACATAGAGCTGTGGTAGTTCTAGGTAAGCAGGCACTGGTAGTTGGAGCAGAGGCAACCCTTGAGACGTGGAGCCAGTGCTGACCCTTGGGACGTGGGGCCAGAGGTGGCCGTGAGAAGTGGCGCAGAGGTAACCCTGGAGCGTAGAGCTGGGGTAGATTTAGGTAAGCAGGCACTGATAGGTGGAGCTGAGTCAGCTCTTTGAGATGTGGCGCAAGAGGTGGCCCTTAGGACATTGAGCCAGAGGCAACCCTGGAGTGTGGAGCAGTGGTAGATCTAGGTAAGTAGGCACTGATCGGTAGAGCAGAGGCAACCCTGGAGATGTGGAGCCAGTGGTGGCCTTTGAGACGTGAATCCAGTGACAACCTTTGAGACGTGGAGCTAGAGCAAGCCCTTGACACGTGAAGCCAGAGGTGGTCCTTGGGGCGTGGAGCCTGAGGTGACTATTGGGAAGTGGAGCCAGAGGCAACCCTTGAGTGTGAAGCAGTGGAAGATCTAGGTAAGTAGGCACTGATAGGTGGAGCAGAGACAACCCTTGGGATGTGGAGCCAGTGGTAGACTTTGAGACGTGAATCCAGTGACGGCCTTTGAGATCTAGGTAAGCAGGTACTGGTAATGGGTGTAGAGGCGACCCTTGGGATGTGGAGCCAGAGGCCGCCCTGGGACGTGGAGCAGTGAAGCCAGAGGTGGTCCTTGGTACGTGGAGCCTGAGGTGACTATTGGGACGTGTAGCAGAGGTGGCCCTGGAACATAGAGCTGTGGTAGTTCTAGGTAAGCAGGCACTGGTAGTTGGAGCAGAGGCAACCCTTGAGACGTGGAGCCAGTGCTGACCCTTGGGACGTGGGGCCAGAGGTGGCCGTGAGAAGTGGAGCAGAGGTAACCCTGGAGCGCAGAGCTGGGGTAGATTTAGGTAAGCAGGCACTGAAAGGTGGAGCTGAGTCAGCTCTTTGAGATGTGGCGCAAGAGGTGGCCCTTAGGACATTGAGCCAGAGGCGACCCTGGAGTGTGGAGCAGTGGTAGATCTAGGTAAGTAGGCACTAATAGGTGAAGCAGAGGCAACCCTTGGGATGTGGAGCCAGTGGTGGCCTTTGAGACATGAATCCAGTGACTGCCTTTGAGACGTGGAGCTAGAGGCAGCCCTTGACACATGAAGCCAGAGACGGTGCTTAGGGCGTGGAGCCTGAGGTGACTATTGGGACATGGAACAGAGGTGGCCCTGGAACATAGAGCCGTGGTAGATCTAGGTAAGCAGGTACTGGTATTGGGAGCAGAGGCGACCCCAGGGATGTGGAGTCAGAGGCGGCCCTGGGACGTGGATCAGAGATGGCCCTGGAGCGAGGAGCTGTTGTAGATCTAGATAAGCAGGCAATAGTAGGTAAAGCAGAGGCAACCCATGAGACGTGGAGCCAGAGACGGAGCTGAAGTGTGGAACTGCGGTAGATCTAGGTAAGCAGGCACTGGTGGTTGGAGCAGAGGCGACCCTTGAGACGTGGAGCCAGTGGTGACCCTTGGGACATGGAGCCAGAGGTAGCCGTGAGACGTGGAGCAGAAGTAACCCTGAAGTGTGGAGCAGTGGTAGATTTAGGTAAGTAGGCACTGATATGTGGAGCAGAGGCAACCCTTGGGATGTGGAGCCAGTGGTGGCCTTCGGGACGTAAATCCAGTGACAGCCTTTGAGACGTGGAGCTAGAGCAAGCCCTTGACACGTGAAGCCAGAGGCGGTCCTTGGGACGTGGAGCCTGAGGTGACTGTTGGAACGTGGAGCAGAGGTAACCCTGGAGCGTAGAGCTGGGGTAGATTTAGGTAAGCAGGCACTGATAGGTGGAGCAGAGTCAGCTCTCTGAGATGTGGCGCAAGAGGTGACCCTTGGGACATTGAGCCAGAGGCGACCCTGGAGTGTGGAGCAGTGGTAGATTTAGGTAAGTAGGCACTGATCGGTGGAGCAGAGGCAACCCTTGGGATGTGGAGCCAGTGGTAGCCTTTGAGACGTGAATCCAGTGACGGCCTTTGATATCTAGGTAAGCAGGTACTGGTATTGGGAGCAGAGGCGACCCCTGGGATGTGGAGCCAGAGGCAGCCCTGGAACGTGGAGCAGAGATGGCCCTGGAGCGAGGAGCTGTTGTAGATTTAGATAAGCAGGCAATAGTAGGTGAAGCAGAGGCAACCCATGAGACGTGGAGCCAGAGGCGGAGCTGAAGCGTGGAGCTGTGGTAGATCTAGGTAAGCAGGTCCTGGTGGTTGGAGCAGAGGCGACCCTTGAGACGTGGAGCCAGAGCCCTGGAGTGTGGAGCAGTGGTAGATCTAGGTAAGCAGGCACTGGTTGGTGGAGCAGAGACCCCTGTGACGTGGAGCCAGAGGTAGCCCTTGGGACATGGAGCCAGAGGTGGCCCTTGAGAAAAGGAACCAGAGGCGGCCCTTGAGGCATAGAGCTGCAGCAGATGTGGTTAAGCAGGCACCAGGGAGTGAAGCAGAGGTAGCCCTGGAACGTGGAGCTGTAGCAGATTTGGGTGAGCAGGCACTGGTGGGTAGAGCACAGGTGTCTGTCGGGCGTGGAGCTGAAAGTGGCAATGAGACATGGATCAGCCAGAAGCGGCCTTGGGGTGTGGAGCCCGAATGCTGAAAAATAAAAACAGCTTTGACTTCCGTAGTATTTTTTCTACTATGGATGTGAATGTTTATTTTCCCCAATGTTCTTCAGAATATCTTGTCAGAAGAATGAAACACATAAACATTAACAACAATGTGAGTGTGAATCAATCTTGAGTATTATTTTATTTTTAAGTGAACTATCTCTTAAACACCCTCACAGTAAATCTGTTTTTAAAGATTTATAACTTATCATTAAAAATGAATTTCACTTTTGAGAAATGAACAGAGTTTTTACCTCCAGAACCAGACTGTTGCATTCATTTGAGCGTTTTTTCCCCCCTGTGGTCCACTTAAAATGTTTTTATTTTGTACTGTCTGTGTGGTTATGGACTTTTGATAGGTCATTTGATGAGTCTGGATGCAGCGTATTCCAGGATAACTGCTTTCCCCGGATTATCAACATCGATTTTATCGTGAAAACGGTGAGCATCTCATTTGATAATGTAGCTCTGGGCTGAAACATGTGTAAAAGCACCTCACATCAGGAATGTGTGTGTGTTTGTGCATGTGTTTCAGCAGTTGTGTGTGTTTGTCTCGAGGGGTAATGCTCTAGTTTGAGCCATTACAGCCTGACAGCATGCTGGTTAGTAGCGGGTTTCGCCTCTGCTGCAGCCTGGCTTCACATAATGCATTGCAATGAGGTCCACAGACCCAAGCACGAGCCAGTGTGTGTGCGTGTGTTTGTGTCCACAGGGTCTAATCGTCTCTCCGACTGCCCACGACCTGTGATAGAGAGTCCAATTTGAAATGGGAAACACAATCTGCTTAAATAGCTCTGTTTTTCTTGTTCTACACCATTAATATATATTACACCCACCCCCTATAACTTTACCAACTCATTAGGTACTTCTATGAACACATAGACTACCTTAATTAACAGTCCCATTACTGTAACCAGTGTTTGAGCGGTTTGTTAGGCCTGAAACATACTCTTTATGAGGGCACAAGGCAGGAGTAAACCAAAGTCCTCAAGGGGATTTTGCGATTGAGTTGCTGTCTGATGTTTGTGCTGTTAAATCAGATGTGCATTCATCCTGGAAGCTAGATAAAACTTAGAATTTTTAAATAAAGCATTAAATAATACTTGGGATATACTAGAATTTTCACATTTAATTAATTTTGCCTTCAACTGTATCAGTGTTATTTATATTTTGCCCAGCCACAAATGCTGTCACCCACAGACGTACAGACAGTATGACTTACAGTAAAGCTGCTTTAAAATGAGTTAGTAAGTACAAATAAGTTAGACTCCACTATACATTTGAGCTTTAACTTCAACGTATGTTGTCCATGCTGTAGTACAACCTGCAGCCAGACGCCTATGATGAATATTCTGCGTCTGTGTTTGAGAAGGTCAGAGGTGTGCTGTTGCGTGTGACTCCGAACACGCTGAAAATACAAATCTGTGTTTGAGATGCAATGCAGAACGCTACTGTCTAGACGGCATATATATACAGACGCATGCACTAACATCAGACGGCATGAGTCAGACATTTAAAGAGAAGATGAAATGTTTTTTTTTTTTCAAGAATTAATATCTCGATTTCTTAAACAGAGAAGGCATGCGTGAGATTGTGAGGGTGTTTTTCTTATGCAACATCAGAGAAGCGGGAGGCTTAAGTACAAATCTCTGTCCTGGAGAATAAATTGAGATGTTAAAGAGAACTCATTTGTGATTTTTTTTTTTTTCCTGAGGGTGTTTTCACACTGTTTCATTCTTCCCACAGAACAGACGGCTGCTCAAAAGCACCAGTTACGCTGCACGGTGTCAGGAACGATAGAAAAGCAATGCACTTCTTCTGCCGGTGCCCTTGAGAAAGAGCCGCATAGAGTCGCGTGTAAGTGAGTGTTTGTGCATGGACTCGTCTAGTCATTGTTGCTGAGTTGTGTTTTCTGTGTCCCGTCTCCCTCCCGTCCTCGTCGAGTGGTGACGTACGGCTGTAGGATGGACGACCGTGGTACTCATTAAGATCGGGAGCGATAGAGAAAATGGGAAAGAGAAAGAGCAGAGAGGAGATAAAGCTTTTGCTTTTTGGAGTTGTTCCTCTTCATTATTTTCACTGACCTCTTATTCTCTTTCTCTCTTTCTCTGTATTTCTCTGTTTCTCTCATCTTACAGCGTAAATATGTGATGCATCACTTTAGAGCCGAATGGATGCAGTGCCGAATGATTTTCTAGAGGACACTGGAAAGGTAAAGAAAGCTCTCGCCATTGCAATGCGAAGATGTGTTGGCATTTAATAGTGTTACAGACACTCATGTCAAAAGAAACTTAAAATTAAAGGTACCTAATCATTTATTATCCTTCATGTGGTGTTAAACCTTCGACTTCTGTTGAACACAAAGATCTTTTGAAGAATGCAGAATGCTGGCTCCCATTGACTTCCATTGTAGGACAAAAATGACTATGGAAGTCAATGGTTGTCTTCAAAATATCGTCTTTTGTGTTCAACATTAGAAAGAAACTCAAATAGGTTTTAATCAGTTGAAGAGTGAGTAATCTTATTTTTTGGTTAAGCTCTCTTTAAGCCATGTTTATGCTACATTCCAGTAAAATAAAATCATAGAAGTCCTGGCCCTAATAAATAACACTATAAAAATATCTGCTTCCAGTTATTAGGGACATAATTCGGATAGAATTTGGTGCCAGTACAATGTGTTAAAGGAATCTATTGAGTTCAGAAATGAAACCCTATAGATCAGTGGTTCTCAAACTTTTTTTCATCAAGTACCACCTCAGAAAAAAATGGTCTCTACAAGTACCACCAAAATGAGCAGTTTTGAAATACAGTAGCGTTGTAGGCCCAGTAAAGCAGCTACAACTCTGCACAGTTAAAAAACATGGAAGATTACCTCAGAAATATAGGCTTCATGTCATATATGGCATATTATATACATCATTTTTGATAAATTTTGAAATGTGTGTAGCATGTACATGACATATTTCATATTTGCGTCCGACTGGAATGACGTACCACATTTTGAGAACCACTGCTATAGATAGTTCATCCAACTATAATAACTCTGACATATTATGTTCCCATTGATTTGCACTGTATTTTTTCCAACCAAATCTTTATCAACATTCTGTTCTTTTGTGTTCTTCAGAGGAAAATCAGTATACAGTTTTGGATTAACATGAATAAAACATGATGTCAGAATATTAACTTTTAGGGGTGAACTGTCCCTGATAGCTCAATTATGCTGAATACCACACATTAATTTCCCTTCTATTTCTTTGTCAGCATGACAACCCTAAATTATCTGTAATTATGATTATCCAGGCCACTTTAAAGCTAAAGAAAATTGTAGATAATAAAAAATGATTAATCTTTATAAAAGTATGAGCTTAGTGATTTATCTTTAAATGATCAAAAATGTTTTTTGGTTTGCATTATTCCACAAATTCTGTCAATTAAAGAGAGTTCATCCAAAAATGAAAATGACAATCATTAAATCACCTTCAAGTTATTATAAACCTTTATGAGTCTTGTTAAACACTAAAGAAGATATTTTAAAGAAAGCTGATAACCTGTAACCATTGACTTCTTATAGGATTTTATCTGTTTTTAAATATCTTCTCTAGTGTTAAGCAGAATAAATGAACTCATTAAGGCTTATAACACATAATAATAACACTAATAAACTGGCCTAGGATAAAATCATGAATATTCTTTAATCACAACAGCACAAGGATCAAAATCTTGGTAAATGCCACTCAAGGCACTTTTGTAGGCTTAAATATACAACCTACAACCCTCCCTAAATTTAACTCTTCCACAAATCTACAACAGCAGAAGCAATACTCACACATGCTTTTTTGTTTTTAATCTGTCCACAGAAAGTCATTAATGTCCTCGGATAACCCTGAAAATGCTGGGATCAGACTGGTCTGATGATGGTTAATCCCTGGAATGGAGTTTGGAGCTGATCATTGTATGCATGACCTGCAGCAGTCATAACACGGCACACTTGATCCACTATTAACCTGACACGTTATCCAGCTCATCTCCTCAAACACACTCTTACAGGACACATCACATTTCCAGTGGCTTAACCTTTACCACCAGGCCCGTGTCTGACATAGCGGAGCACAAATGGAAGTGGGCAGGTTAGTAATGATTCAGCCGTAATGAATTAATAGCCTGCTTTTTGCTAGGTGCGCTCTGCTCGCCAGCTCTCTAATGTGCGTTTGCCTCCGTCTGTATTTGCGGCGTATGAAAATCAGCCTTGAAAATCTTTTTGTTCGTCAAATACCGAACAGAGAAGTTCTCAGCTATTCACAAACCGTACCTCAATTATCCTCTCTCTCCTCCTTTGCCCTCATCAATTATGCATACTGTATATTAAATACCTCACATTTGCACATCCGCTTATTTGCATAATTTCCAGCATCCCAGTTGGCAGAAGAGCAAAGAACCAGGTGAGAGGGTGATGCCGCTGAACTTGTTGTTTCCTTCACCTCTGTCTTTAGGGACTATTTTGTAATGTGCAATAAAACAATGAGGAAACCTAATGACATAAACACAGTAAAGTGCACATTTAACTATCACATCGTTTTGTTTGCATAATCCAGGCGTTTTACATGCATTAGCTACTTTAAATATAGAGGTTTTAATGTCACAAGCGATTTATAATTGCTAAATTATAGCATTTCAAAATGCAATGTGCAATTATATATCTTTAATAATATAAAGTTAAAGGGGTAGTTCACACAAAAATAAAAATAACTCATCATTTACTCTCCCTCATATAGTTCATTGATTCATTCATTCATTTTCTTTTCAGCTTAGTCCCTTTATTAATCTGAGGTCGCCACAGCGGAATGAACCGACAACTTATCCAGCAAGTTTTTACGCAGCGGATGCCCTTCCAGCCGCAACCCATCTCTGGGAAAACCTCATATAGTTTTAATCCTTAAAACCACATTAAAGATTCATTTATTTCTTAAAGACTAATTTCTGTTGAACAAAGATGATATTTTGAGGAATGCTGGTTGCTGGCACCCATAAACTTCCTTTGTAGAAAAAAAGTAATAAAATAAAAAGTATATTTTGTGTTTAACTTAAAAAGGTTCGAAACAAGTGTGAATAAGGCCCAATCCCAATTCTACCCCTTAGCCCTTCCCCTTGTCTCTCATTTTGCACATTCACGTAATGGGGTAGGGCTGTCCCAATTGCTTTTATCTTGAAGATGTAGACCTAAGGGGAAGGGCTAGATACCCCTCGACTCAAAACTGCGATTTTTCAGGACCACACCCAAAACCAAGGTGAATACACCAGAATACACCATACCTTCATGCTTTAAAAACATAATGCTAAAATAATAGCTGCTAAATTTCGCTATCTACAATCCCTAATAATAACTCCTGTATAGAAGTCCAACAGCATATTTTTGCATCTGTCACTCGATGACACTGGAAAACCCTGTCAGTGGCTGGGATGGAGCTTTTTACAGTGCCTGGTATAATGTTAATGTTATTTTCGTCTGTTTACATAGATGAATTCGCCCATGGTGTAAATGCACAGTACAGTTACAGTCTTATTGCCACATTATATCGTAATGATTACATGATGTATGGCTTCAGTGATTTCCTGAAGATAAATACCAAATAATATGCAACTGCAGCAGTCGCCATCGTCGATCCCATATGAAGTAAGAAATCGCGATGACATATGATAACATGTGCAGGTGCTGTAGTGCTCTCCTATTTCTTAGGGTAAATTTGAAGCCCTTCCCCTTCACACTCTGTTTCAAGGATCAAGGGGAAGGGGTGGGGGTACAAAAATAGAATTGTGATTGGGTCTAAATGTTGACAGAATCTACATTTTTGAGTGCAATATCCTCTTTAAGGATATTTAATCAGTGTAGTATCAGAATTTATTAATTGACTCAGATTTTGTTCGAATTAAAATGTTTACTGAGTTCTCATGGAGTATAACAAAAAGCTGCATTTAAAAAACTGTTGCTCCGTCTTTCTTTTTTACTTTTGCATTTCGTATGCCCTGTGATGACTTAAAAAGTCCAATTAAGCCAGAGCAAGCCATCATAATAGGGGGTATCGGTAATGTACACAACTAAACATTAATATATGTAAACATTTTAGCACTTTAAATATCTAATAATAATAATAATAATAATAATCATTATCTAATAATTACAATAATTATAAAAAATGTAATTATAAGTCTTACAATGAGGACTTGACAAAAATGCAAGCATTTAGATGCCATAATGTGTTCTGTATCCTTCACAATAACACCAGGCAGATGTATTAAAGTTTTACATGATTGGTTTTCGTTCCATTTTGAGTTCAACCCTGAATATATCCTTTTTATTTTGATGTTGTGTACGATTGTGATTCTCTTGCTGTCGTTTTATGTCCTAAGAGAGGTTTGGCATTACATTACTCTTGACATGAGGACAGTGTTGCGTGTGAATGACAGTATTGTGTTGCGGTGAGAGAGATTTATTGGTTAGATAAAGAGGACACAAGAGAGGCTGAGCTGACTGAAGTCTGTAATGTGCTCAGGGGTGATTGGTTTTCATTTTCTCTCCTCCCAGCTAAAGCGTGGAGGAGTAATGGCTTTAAAATACTGCTGTGTGCTTGAGCCAGTGAGTATGTGCAGCCCGGAGCCTGTCTGGATCCCTCTGCCACCATCCATCTGAGATCTGAGGTACTGGGGAACACTTGGGGATGCTCAAACACGGTGAAGATGACACATGTGCTAACCACCGCCAAAGTAATCTCTATTTTAAACATATGGGGTGGTGTTTTCTAAGCAAATCTATATTAGATCTATATTAAGGGACAGTTCACCCAAAACCTTTGAGTTTAACACAAGGGATAAATTTAACACAAGATAGTTTAAAATATGTTAGAAACTTGTAACCGCTCACTTCAAAAGCAAATACTTTGTATGTCAATGGTTACAGGTTTCAACATTTGTCTAACTTTGTGTTTAACAGAAGAGTGAAGGGTGTATGAATGATGACTGAATCTTAAGTTCTGGGTGAACTTTAATCTATAATCTATTTAACCTGATAACTGTCATGCCCTTTTTCTAGTTGTTTAAAGAAATATACTTCTTGCATATCTTTTGCAGTTTAAAAAGTTATACTAATAAATAGAACTTCAAAAAGTATATTTAAAAAATATTAATTTTAATTTGGTTCACCCTAAAAATATATTAAATAAAAGCCTGAGGTTTAAATGCTTTTAAATATTTGAATAAAGATTTGTTAAAGGTGTTAAAGGTTTGAGACTAATAGCACAAAAAAAATAATAATACATTTTCAGCTGCTATACCAACAACATAATGTCATACTGATGGTTCTTAAAGGACTATGGTTACCACTAGTTCTTATGAAATTTCAATTATGTTCCTTTTTTTTTTTGGAAATACTAGAAAATATATTTTGCTTGGATGATTTGCATAAAAACTATTAAAAAAATTAATTATGGTGTTTTTTTAATTAAAAGCCACAGCTCCTGGTATATTTTTCTCCTTCTCATCACAAATGAATCGACTATCCCTTCATAATATTTTCTGCAAAACCATGTTGTGAAAATTACAGATTTGGAGATATATGGTTTGTCAATATTAGCTCAGGTTAAGTAGAGGATGTAACATTTTTAAAAATGCAGTGGCAAATGAAGGGCCAATGACAGTTTACAGGTTAAATATCAAAGTGACCAGACAGATTTTACTAGTGGAAAGTAGACTCGTAAAAATAAACACTGTCTAGTACATTAGTAAATGTATATATGTTAGTTAATTAACGTTATTGACTCCATTTAATAAAATTAATGCAACTTTTGATTTTAATGTGTCATCAGTAGGGCCAGACGGAATCTGCGGACATTTTTTGCTATTTCTGCGCAGAATTTTGTTAAAAATCTGCGGATTTATGCAGAAAGATTTTGGGAGTATCATAACTAAAACCTTATTATATGAAATAAAAATTAATACCTTTTTAACTTGTACTATTTGCAATGCAAATCCATTTAGATCCACTTTATTTCTTAAACAAATCAGGTTTTCTATATAATATATCTACTAAAAAACTGAAAATATTACTTAACAAACTATTGTAAATAAATTATATGAACATTTTCATATTAGTCAATAATTACACTGAATTTAATTTTAAAAATGAATATGAATTTACACATATTTACACAAGTAAATAAACAGAATCAATGATGCGATAAAAATCTGCGGAATTTCTATGTGGGCAGATTCCGTGTGGGCCTCGTTATTAGGCATTAAAAAAGTCAACATCAGCTTTAAGATTAAAAACTGATTTTGTAGTTGCCATTACATTGACTTTAGGTAAGTTAACTAATGTTAAGAAATGGAGTCTTACTTTAAAGAGTTTATAAACAAAGAGGTCTATAAATATTCATAAAATGTTTAATGTCATAGGCAAGATTAATTAAAAATATTTTAAAAAGAGCCTGAAAATAAATTGCATATTAATATTTTAAGCATTTGCTCCTGTTATGAATAAACACTGAAACACAACAAGCTGAATATTTGTAAAAAATCACACAGTTCAAACATTATTATTGATGTTATTTTAAAATGCGATAAATATATTGCGCATGTTCATTATCAAAATGTTGAGCTATTGGATATAGCCACGTGTCTAATTAAAAATTAAACAACTGAAGAAAACATTTTGATATTGGGCATGTTCATCGTCACGATATATTGAATTAATAGATATCAGCATGTCTAATGAGAAGTAAACAACTAAAGAAAACAATTTGATGTTGCGCACGTTCATCAACACGATATATTGCATTAATGAATATACTAATGGAAAGACAACAACTGAAGAATGAAGATTTTGAGGGACCTAAGCCATACACGGACAGCAGAACATCATAAACTTGAGGTAAGCAGTTATCTAATAGCTAGTCTCAACCTCTTAGCAACACTCGTACCAACCTGGTAACCACTAAGCAATGTTCTATCAACGCTCTGGCAACCATCCAGAGCATTTCAACAACTTCACACTTTAAAAACACAGTGACAGCCACTTAGAACACCTTGTCTTGGCAGTCATCCACCAATCAGAACATGCAATGGCTAAAACAGCATGACTGTAAATAAACCAGTGAGGTTTCACTGTGGCTGGAGTTTCCCTAGTTTGTCACAGATGGTTTGCATTAAACCCCGTCTCAGATTATTATAAAACAGACCAGATTTATCAGTTTTTCCTTGATCTGTTTAGCGACAGAGCCTTTAAAGGTGTTGATTTTATATAAGCTACTGACAGCGATGATGCATCACAGGACTAGCATGCTGGTTTTCTAATGACATTATTAGTGTGCAGTGAATTTACCGTCCCTGAGATGTGACTGTGCAGCAGATACAGAAAGCGAGTGCTAATGTTTGAGAAGAGGACTGGCAGCTGTCCAGCAAACAAAGTCATTTCTCAAAGCTGCTGCCAAAATTGGCCCACTAATACATGCTCATTAGGAAACGCGCAAATAAACCAGGACAACAAGACTACAGGGCTTCTGGGAATCAGATGATGTTTAAGGGTGGTGTTCAAAGTCAATTTTAAGTGTAGTTACCGTCTCAATACGCAATTTTTTATTATGTTAGACTCGTGTTAATTGTACAAAGGATAGAAAATTGTGACTGATCAAACGTTTTCCAGTGTGCAACTTAAAAAAATAGATTTTCCTGATTTCCATTTGTGGATGAGAATAGAGATTGGTGACTGGATGGATTTTTCTGTATGCCATAGATATGCCTGGCAGGAAAGTGTTTCAGTCAGTTAAGCTGTAGTATAGCAAGGCCTTGATTTGCAAAATCAAATACTCCGACTAAAGCGGCAATGAATAAGCAGTCAGGCAGCATGCTTCATAAAAGCTCACATGCTCGGAGAGGTTGATAGCGTGAGTGGGGTTTCATTTGAACGGCGTAATGAGCTATTAATGGTGCTTTAAGGGCTTTCTCGTGGTGTTTGTTTGCTTTACTCCATTTGATTTGTTTGTTTGTGTAGTACCCGACCGCCTGCAGAGCTAAGACCTGTCTGTCTCCCACTTGTACAGATACATAGTACATTCATGCACTAGGGGAATGCAAAAAAAAGCTGTTAATATGTGATTTTAATTATACGCTGCATATTTCAGCAGTTATTTGTGTTAACACATTTTGGCTAATTGCCATGTATTTTAAGAGAAATATGAAGGGTTCTAATGTTGCCAAGTATTTTTAGAGTTTTTTAAATGTTAATTGTGTGCCATATGCATGCTTTACCAAAAATGTGCCAACTAGTATGCCATTCAGAACACAGCCCATGCATTAATGTACATATGAAGCACATAATAAGCTATAAATAGTGCTTTAAGGGCTTTTCTTTCTCTCTTGTAGTGTTTGTTTGCTTTACTCAATTTGAGTACCTGTCCGCCTGCAGAGCTAAGACCTGTCTGTCTCTCACTAGTACAGACACATAGTACTAGGGGAATGCAAAAAAAGCTGTTAATATGCATGCTTCACCAAAAAATATGCCAACTAGTATGCCATTCGGAACACAACCCATGCGTTAATATACATTCAGTTGAAGTCAGAATTATTAGCCCCCCTTAATTATTAGAACCCCTGTTTATTTTTTTCCCCTATTTGTTCAACAGAGAGTAAATTTCTTCAACACATTTCTAAACATAATAGTTTTAATAACTCATCTCTAATAACTGATTTGTTTTATCTTTGCAATGATGACAGTAAATAATATTTTACTAAATATTTTTCAAGACACTTCTATGCAGCTTAAAGTGACTTTTAAAGGCTTCACTAAGTTAATTAGGTTAACTTGACAGGTTAGGGTTATTAGGCAAGTTGTTGTATAACGATGGTTTGTTCTGTAGACTATTGAAAAAAAAAAGTTAGCTTAAAGGGGCTAATAATTTTGTCCTTAAAATGGTGTTTAAAAAATTAATAACTGCTTTTATTTTAGCCGAAATAAAACAAATAAGACTTTCTCCAGAAGAAAAAACATTATCAGACATGCTGTGAAAATTTCCTTGCTCTGTTAAATATTATATGTTAAAAAATATTTAAAAAAGCAGCAAAAATTCAAAGGGGGGCTAATAATTCTGACTTCAACTGTATATAGCGTATAATGAGCTATCATTGGTGCTTTAAGGGCTTTCTCGTCATGTTTGTTTGTGTAGTACCCGACCGCCTGCAGAGCTAAGACCTGTCTGTCTCCCACTTGTACAGATATATAGTACATTCATGCACTAGGGGAATGCAAAAAAAGCTGTTAATATGTGATTTTAATTATACGCTGCATATTTCAGCAGTTATTTGTTTTAAGTAAATTAACATATTTTGGCGAATTGCCATGTATTTTAAGAGAAATATGAAGGGTTCTAATGTCACCATGTATTTTAAGAGTTTTTAAGTGTTGTGTGCCATATGCATGCTTTACCAAAAAATGTGCCAACTAGTATTCCATTCGGAGCACAGCCCATGCGTTAATGTACATATATAGCGCATAATGAGCTATTAATTGTGCTTTAAGGGCTTTCCTGTGGTGTTTGTTTGCTTTACTCCATTTGATTTGTTTGTTTGTGTAGTACCCGTCCGCCTGCAGAGATAAGACCTGTCTGTCTCCCACTTGTACAGATACATACTGTAGTACGTGCATGCTCTAGGGGAATGCAAAACAATAGCTGTTAATATGTGATTTTAATTATACACTGCATATTTCAAAAGTTATTTGTGTTAAATAAATTAACTAATTTTGGCTAATTGCCATGCGTTTTAAGAGAAATATGAAGGGTTCTAATGTCACCAAGTATTTTTAGAGTTTTTTAAATGTTAATTATGTGCCATGTGCATG